CATTAGTCTTCCTACCAATATGACCGAGTTGCGAAAACAAGGTCAAATAACGTCTATACAACGAAAGGATACGGCGACCACACAAAAGGCCACACCATCTTGGTCTTCATACCTTCGATTAAGGTTAAATTAAATTGAATTGAATCGTCGGTACTACTCATGGCATTTTGGGAAAGACTCCTCGATTAGGCCTTAAGGCCCTATTTCTTATTCCAGACTTGTTGATATTTTCGAATCCTACTCTTTTTTCGTAAACAGAATGTGGTAAATTCACGAAATTGCGCTCTTCCGCTCCTGTTTGATATTTGATTTCTGTAAACTAGCTACTAGAAACCCTATACAAAATGTCAAGATTAAAGGGTAGGTACGGCATTTGTTCCGTTTTACTCCTTGATGTGGGCATCTGCATGCTTTCCTCTTTGTAGGCTTGCGGCAGACTGTGCATACACCAGAGGCCTACCGTGTACCTGAGACTCGCACTACTCGCTTTAATTCAGTAGAGGCGTGGGCCGAATTTGAGCCCTGCTGGTTGCGGCGACGCTTGGTCTAGTCGAGCGATGAATTTACGTCGTCTCGGGCAAAAGTGAAGCGAGAGAGAACTTCGCTGTTCGGACAGAATGTGCTGTGCACCATCGGTTGGCGAACTGTCCGTCCAGTTGCCTATCGTCGACCGGTGTACAAACGGCTTGGGAATCAAGCGTCTAGAGGCCTTTTTGAATCCTGCGCATTGGCCGGTCGGTTGTCCGGTGATGCGCACAACCGCATGAAAACGCACCCGCACACACGCATAAACACATGCACACTTACGCACACAAATGTCCGATGGTAAAATGAAAAAAAGAAAACTAAATGTATGAAGATTTACCATCAAAAAGCAAGATAAAGATAAGGCGACGCTCAATATCGGCTGCGAGATGATGTTTCAACATTTTTAACTCTTTTGTATGGAAGAGCAGAGGCAAGGCTGGAGGGATGCGAAGGGTGGGAAATCGAAACTAACTAGTTTGTAAATCTTAATGGTCGGGTTTATGCCTCTCGTAACCTTGGAATTTGGAAGACATTCATGCCTCCTCCAGCTCGCCTCGAGGACGGAAAAGCTCAAACTATCTTAAATTAAGTGCTCAAAGGGGGATCGGTGACTCACTGTTCCTCAATTGGACCGTCAAGTCGGGTATGCAATGTTGCTATGGCGGCGGGAGCTTGCCGGATGGTGCGAGGAGTCCCGCTGTCTTCGGAGGCGGCGAATTCCGGCAACCAAAGCAAGTCGAATGGACCTGGAAACGACGAACGTCACGATGAATTGGGTTGCAGAAGAGTCAATGGCCTCTTTAGTTCCCGGAGCAGGTTGTGTGTAAACGAGGCCTTGAGCACAAAGCCCCCGATGCACCACCGTCGACCTGCTCCAGTTCCGTCTGTCTTTTGTAGATCTTCCAATCAAGCCCAAGCCAACATGGGTCTTGTCGAAAAGGCTGGACACAACTGGGATTTTGTATGGCTTCGTAGAACCCATAAAAGCTCTCTGAGACTCGGTGAAGATGCAGTTAAGCGTTGGTTTCCGCACCGATTGGCCATATTAGACGACATCGCAGCCAGCTCAAAACGCCTATTTCAAACACGTCTTAGTATGACTCACGCACTTGAACCGGTCGATAAAATGCAATTAGAACACGAGCTCCTAATTGGATCTGCTAGACTGACCAATCACATCGAGGCAGGCAATCAGATCAGCCAATTAGAGGCTGGCACAAACACGAGATTGTGAATGAAGTGGCTGCCTGTGGCGGGACCAGTCTCAAGTGAGCATCATTCATCTCAATGCAGGCCATTTGAGACAGGGTCTACTTTTCCGGTCATTTCGGGTGCTGAGACATCGCGAATGATATGTGCTCGTTTACGAGGTGAGGGATCGGCAGGGCTTTTCCAGAATGTTTGCCATGTGCCGGGTGTTCCCGTCGCGGTACGACAGACGAATGCTCTGACGACTTCTCGGTGCAACTCTAAAGCGTAACCTACAGCTCTTTTCCCTCGAATTGCAAGGTCGGCTGACGGAAAGGCGTAAAGGTAGTCTTGAAGGCCCCAATTTTCACGTCAACTGAATCGGACAGGCGGACTCAACCTGGTCCAGGTCTCCAATTGGCTTCGGTGAGACGACTCGAAGACCGGCGGGCGTCTGGCAGCAAATGTGGCAAGTCGTATTCGCCGTTAAAGCGTGTTTTTTGCAAGCGTTACTCAAACTGCTTGAATCGAGAGTAGATTGCTCAACTATCAGCAGCATTTGCGCAATTCAACAGGCTTCATCCCATTGCAATTAATCCTCCGGCTTCCAGTGAGGCCAATTTATACATTTCTTGCAATAAACTTCTACTAAATGGAATTAAATCATTAAGATATTCTTTGAAATTCCGCTTCTTTAGAAGCCAATGCATGAAGGCTCCATCCTTTCAGGTCTCATCCATTCTTAAATACTTGCTTTTATTTTTTTTATTAACACTTTCCAGTAGATGAGAGATATGTGACCCTGTGTTTCGTCGTAGTTTCCGTCAGCTCTATAGGGTTGGTTCGACTTCGCTTTTGCAGCTTTTTCGGAGCGTCAGGGTGACCTTGTGGACGGTAACTAGCTCTGTGTCCTCTGCCATAGCATTCGTGATTTCCAGCATCGGACCATTGACTTGGTACACTTCCAAACATTTTGCCGACATCGTCAGTGCCATTGTCAGCACAGAGTTGCAACTTATCAAAGCGACAACAGACTTTTCTTTCGAACGCACAACAAATCGAGGAGGATTCTACGAAACTTAGCCTTCCCTTGGTATGAAAGTGCATGAAGAAGAGATTCGTTGGTCGATTTCACCAGATGAGGACGGATGAATCTCGTTATACTGCAGCAGACAATTTCAGAAGAGGATCAGATAGTAATTTTGCTGTTGTGTCCATGTACACAAGCATTCATATTCAGGGTGCTATTCAAGCTCTGATACAAACTCTGGAGGAGCATCCAGAGACAATACAGGGAATAAGGCTGAGTGTAGCTTCCATTATTGGTCTTATTAACCTACACACGAGTACCACATAGTTTACTTTCAATGGTGAGTTATACGAACAAAGACAAGGACTAGCGATGGGATCTTGCCTGGCTCCCATCTTGGCGAACAATTGTGTGGCAAGAGTGGAGCAACACTTCCTGTAAGAGCAATATAACCCACAAATTGTCGGTTAGATGCATGGATGACTATTTTGACATTGGCTTCAGGGTAAGGAATGCTTAGATAGTTTCCTACTTTCACTCAACCAGCGTGAAAGGAACGTTAGGTTCACAATGGAAACGAAAGAGAATAAGTCCTTACCTTTTTAGGA